CACGTGACCTAGCGTTGCTGACTCAGAGTAACCGAAGCCTTAAATCACCCACCAGCCAAATCTAACACACCTCTTTCATAAGGTTACTACCGCAGATTACGTGAGTTTTTGGATTGTTGAGTGACCAAGTCACAGCTATTCCGCCCATAACAATATCCATTGTATTCATTATCTTGGCTGTTTTTTGTTGTGTTGAAGGATACTATTGTAAGAGCTATTTTTTATTGATATTTTCAACTTTGAATATATATTACTACCAATATTGAATTAAGGCTTCTTCCATCCAGTAATTCGATTTAAATAAACTTTTAATTTTCTTATAAAGGAAAAAAATTTATTCGACCCGAATTACTGGTGGAGAAATTATTGGTGTGAATTCCTAAATATATTTATACCATGAAAGCAAATAACTAATAAATTCTTTTATTTAAATATAGCTGTAGCGTTGAATACGCCTCAAAATGTTCAAACAGGTTCAACTACTGGAATAAGCTGGAAATTTGATGGTATTCAAACCACAAGCATTGTATTGGGGCTAATGAATTCACAACTTTCAGTTGCTCAATTAATAAATCCTAATGTGAACCTTACAAAAGGATGAGTCTTGGAATATTTCCGTTAATTCAGGAAGTTATAAATTGTACTTGATGGACGAAACTTATTATAATTACACATTTTCAGACTTATTTAATGTTTCGAATAATGATCCAATTTGGGAAATTTATTACTTTTCCAATAATTTCCCACAGATTCTTTGCAATCACAAACATTAATGAGACAACTGTTTGGTAATTCTTTCTTTATTTAAATATAGGTGTAAGATTTGATGTACCTATAAATATTTCAATGGGTTCATATCTTGCAATTACCTGGAGTTATAGTGGTACTCAAAGCAGACTCAACGTGTTGGGGATCATGATTTTACAAATTTCAAATATTCTAATTATAGATTCTAATGTGGACTTTACAAAAAAAAGTCTGCTTTGGGCTGTTACTGTCGATGCAGGAAGTTACAAATTTTTTTTAATGGATAAAATTTCTTATTTATTCGTATTTTCAAATAAATTTATTGTTTCACAAAAATCTGAAGGTAATAATCTACAAAATTCTATGCAACTATGAATATTAATAGCCAATTTCATGACAATACCAATTCAACTAATTCATAACTTTAAAAATTTCTATATAGGATCATCAAGCAGCTATGAGAACATGAAAATTATTGATCTTGAAGTTGACAATTATGAAAATAAAGATCGAATCGGAAATGATAAGAAGAAAAGAATCAATAATGGGATATTTAAGAACGGAGCGATGCGAATAAAGAATGGTGCCATACCTGTAAAGTCCATTGAAAAAAGGGTTGAAGCGAATAAACTGAAAGATGCTAGAGTTGATGTCAACAAGAATGA